GCCCCCCCCCCCCCCTCCATGTGAAAAGTGAATCTGACATCGTGGGTAGTAGGGGCCTATTTGTTTCGCCATTACTGGATAAGTATAGCGGGTCAGTTATAATTCCCTCAAGTCTGTTATTTAAGAAATGCTGACTTGACACCAACGGAACCGGATAATTTGAGAAAAATACTTGCGGTTTGACAAAGAATACCACCTACGCAGTAATTGGCTAATCGCTTTCGGTGCGAACACCTTGCCACAGCCCATAATAGGCTTAGTCGCTTTATAGAGATAGTCTATACTGTATTATCTATGCAAGCGTTGAGTCTGCAAAAATTTTCATGATACATATATTTAAAAACATAACATTTTGGCACTAAATACATAACGATTAGAGCTCTGTCAATACACATTTTCTTTGCATACGCTGTAAATTTCGAGGAGTTGAATTAACTCCGCCGAGTGTTTTATTCTGTCACCAAAAACGATGACAGAAGAACTCTTTTAGAGTTGTTTTAACTCCTTGAAATTTACAGTGTAGACAACATGTTTCACAAATCTAAGGAACTGTGTACACCATTTTAACGACCGAATTCATCAAATTGTTAGATATTTAAATAACCCGGAAACATGTTGTTTGTGCAAAGAAAACTCACCTGCAGCGCGCAAATCTTATTTGAAAATCCGTTAAAAAATTGTATGTTTACACGCGCAAAAAGTGCAAAACGTGACGTATTTAGTGATAAAATATTATGTTTGGAAAGGTAAAATGGTAAATTTGCTTTCAAATAACTCTTACGAGTCGTTGGGGAACACGCTGACTCGACCTAATTAAATATTAGGTTACCCACAGGGCAGTAATGCTGCCTTTGACAGCAAAAGACGAACTACACGGTGTTGAACGAGTCCTTCAGAAACATCCTATTATTGTTATCCTTGTTAACCCATTTATTGACAGTACCCTACCACTGACTGAGTATTAAAAATCGTCTGGCGTTGGACAGGGTAAATACTAAAGTAGGGGTCATTACTGTGTTGATGAATTAACAAGAGCCATTGGCAGATAGGTTTGTTAACCCATTTACTGGCAGTACCCTATACCACTGACGAGTAAAATCTTCTGGCGTTGGACAAGGGAAGGGTGCATTTCCAGCTAATGGGTTAAAACACCGTGGTTAAACATAAAATTTCATGATGCTCCAGGAAATGTAAACAAGCTATTAGTGTGACATCCCAGTTTATATATTTATATACTCGGAATATTGATTTATCGGTATATACAAAATTATTTTAAAGTATAACAACCAGCGAAGACGTAAGCCACTAACTACCCTGCGCGGCTGCGCGCAGACTATATAATGACATATATATGTCATCCGTCCGGTCCGTCCGTCGCCATCCGTCCGTCCGTCATTCATCCGTCCGTCCGTATCCGCGTTTTATCCTAACCCGTTTTTAAAACACAAAGTTTGCATTTAATTAAGGCAGTGCGGTTCGTCATGATCAACATTTTCAAAAGCGGCCAATTAGACCAGGGGTTAAAGGGCAATGACAATGACATGCAGGTGACATTTAACATTGCGTCTCACTAATTAAAATTTGCGTGTTTAATAATGTTTATCAAAGAAAGCAAAAATGTATACAAGACAATCTCACATGTGGAATTTTTTCACTTACGTACTGCCTTGTGATGCAGTACAAGTATAAATACAAATGACAAAGCATTTGTAAATTCTAAAACATAATTAAAAAATCATACGGCACATTTAAGATTTTAATATCGTATTTCAGCCGCGTTTATACTGTTTGGCGCATTCGCTGCGTTATATTCATTTATATACACAGAAAAGCATGCATGTCATTGTCCATGCAGACCATAGGCAAAAAGCATTTGTCAACCACATACCAAATTTAAGCAATCGTTAAATCATATACATGTCATGGAAAGAATATGGAAATAATGTTGAATGAATGCTACCATCGCGTATAATATTAAAAGCACCGCATATTATTAGTGCTCGAACCACTGCGTATAATTGCAAAAGCACCGTGTATATAAATGGTGAAAGCACCGCGTATAATACTGGAACCACCGCGTATAATGGCGAAAGCACCTTGTATAATGCCGAAAGCACCGCCGTATAATGCTAAAAGCACCCAACAATGCCGTTTGATCACTCTAAGCCAGCTATGGCTTTCCATAAAAGAAGACCAAAGATGAAAGATGATCACATCGCCTGTTTGCCTTATGCCTGACCGCGCTGCACCACGGTTAAAATTCACTGGTACCGTCATGCAATGCGCCAAATAGAAAATTTTGATTTCGACCCACAAAACAAAATTAGGATCTGCTGCCTTGCTCGCTCGCTTCAGGCTCGCTCGCTGCGGCAGCAACAAGTTATGGTGTCATCAAACTGACAGGGTAATGTTATTTCATTTATCACTATACTTTTGACAGTCACAGTTAACAAAAGGACTAGTTTAACTGATACTTGAAGCGTTTCTTCTCTTTACGACACTTCAAAGTTCTCGCCGATGTTAACTATCTATTGTGTAAGTGTCTAAAGTCTAAACGAACGAAATTCGTGGTTTGAATCCTGAATAAAAAAGTCTGGCGTGTGCTCGTGCCTAATTGCCAACTAAAATGTCGAAACTGGGAAGCTTTAAAGTTCCATCACTCATTAAGAAAAGACGAATCGATCATGGTTTGCCAACATTTAGCTGGAATTCATTAAGAAACGTGGAGGAAATTGGCAGTGGTAGCTATGGATCTATACACCGCACAATATATGACAAAGGAGACAGTTGTTGTTAAAAAGCTTAAAGGCGAATCGACCGATTTCTTAAGGAAGCAAAGTTGCTTTTTGAAATGAAACACGAAAGTATACCTGGGTTTTTAGGATTTACAGAAAACTCATATTCATTAATGATGGAATATGTAATGTTTGATTTTCAACCCTTCGGAATTGAGAAAAGCGTCACCAATATTGGAGAGTTCTACCACTTCATTGACCATCAATTTGATTTCAAACCGTTCGCCGATGTTCTTGTCGTATGTATTAGGGATGTGGTAAACGCACTCGATTACCTCCACAACCACAGTATCGCTCATAGAGACTTAAAACCTGAAAACGTTTTGGTCTCCAACCAGCACTATTGCCAGAAAGACAAAGATACCTTTGCGCACAATCTATGCTATTTGCCCAATTGTCTGCAAAGTCACAGATTTTGGTTTCAGTAGATCTTTAAATACGCAAACACAATCAATCCTGCAATCTCGGGCTTAAATGGGGGCTTAAATGTAGTTATTCATACCATTTTTTACTTCAATTTTGCAGAGAATTCCTTAATATTTACCAATTTCCACAATTCCAGCATTCCAGGGGTCCCTCTCTGCAAGCTGGGCCCCCCTTTTTACTATAATTATACACCCCAGTAGTTATGTAGGTTAATTGAGGTTAATATTTGAGTTATCAGGGTTGTTAATAGTATCAGAATATCGTAAACGTATGTAGCTTTTTTATGACATAACACACGCCCTTCATGGAAATCATAGTTGAAGGGACTATTAAATAAATATAGTTTTACCAAGCTACATACCTACCTCGTAAAGAAAAAACTATTCTAAAACTTTTTTTCCGCGTTTTACCCCCTTTTCCGCATTTTACCCCCTTTTCCGCGTTTTACCCCCTTTTCCGCGTTTTACCCTCTTTTCCGCGTTTTACCCTCTTTTCCGTGTTTTACCCTCTTTTCCGTTTTCCTGGTTCCGCCATTCCGGTTCTGCTGGTCCGTTCCGTTTCCGCGTTTTACCCCTACCCATATACTCCGACCATACATAAGTAACTTCTTTAGTAGTATTTGCAAACATGAAATTAACGACTCACTGTTGGATTATTTAGATATCTTCGAGCAGTAGCATATCGTTTGATTATTTAGATATCTTCGAGCAGTAGCATATCGTTGGATAGTCAGATGATATTTGGCATGCTGGGATGGGAGAATTGCAGACCACTTCCAGCATGCCTAGTAAATGCATAAAAACTGACTGCACTGCTTTATAGGGTTACAGTAGATATAGTACAGATGCAAACAAGATTGCGTGCGAGTGCTGGTGTGAGTTTCGTCACGTTGGTAGACGCGCTATCAGCCTGTCGCGCAAAACATGCACACGTTTCTTGCCGAGGTTTTCTAGAGGCTCAAATTCTGGTCTATTTCGTGTACAAAAACACGCAACTACATGTAATAGATTCTCAATGTGAACTTAACGAACGGTTGTGAGTGAAAGAATATAATGAAGTACTGAAGTAGAGCCCATCATTAGAAGCAGCTATATTAAGTAAAGTTCTCAAAGTTTTAATACCCTATCGTATTTTACCATGCTATATATATATATGCAATTCAAAATTTGTTAGTTTTGGAATGGTCCATACTCATGCTATGGTATGTCAGTAAATGTAGATATTTAGTATTAATTTCCATGTTATGCTTACACTAGTTACTACAATGTTTGCCATAATTAATATCAGCTAGAGCCTAAGCCTATCTACATAATATGCGGTCTGAAACCTACAACGTAGATATAGTCTCTTGTCTCATCGAATTTGCATTTTAATTTTCGGCCGCTTATACGCTACAACTCGTCATGTTGTAATTATATTGTATCTATAGATTGAAAGCGAAGTCTACAGAAAGTGGATTCGTTTCAATTTTCTTAAATTTTCTCATAGTGTTTACATATCGAAAGGTCGCACTGTGTCATACTGCATACGTCACTGACCGCGCGATGGAATGTCAGGAATTTCGCCAGTAGATAGTCGAAAAAGCGAACTTTAATTGTAAAATTAACAAACTTCTGGTTCGAATTTTTCAACAAGGTTTGTATTTTTATGATCGGAAAAGACCAAATTTTCAGAAAATGCAAAAAAACCGATATCGAAATTTTCATATATATATATATATACCAAATATGTATTTAGAATCATATATGAGTAGAGTGTTCGATATACCGAAGTATATAGAGCTAATATAGATAAAGATAAAATAAACCTGGTTTACTTCATAAGATTTATTCACTACAAACTTGTTTCGTATGACAAGCAATGCTTGCCACACTCATCAGGTGAATTTAAAAATAAATTATATATATATATATAAATATAAATATATATAAATATATATATATATATATATATATATATATATATATATATATATATATATAATTTAAGATCAAATGTTCAACTCAGACCTCCACACCTCTTTCATTTCTGTATAGGAAACAGAATTATGGACAGTAGACGCCATTTACACCGCGAGCGAAGATGGAAGTTCTTGTGAAAGTGGGGTAAGCTGTCAACGAGATAAATAATTGATATTTGAGTGTATGAAACACAGTTATACACAGCTAATTCAACTAGGGATCCAAGGATAGTGTGAAGTTTCAAATTGAAAAAGATTCTGCAAGAACTATATAGGGTCGCTGACAACCTAGAAAAGCTGATGTCTTACACTACGAAATAAACAATCACCAACGGCATTTCATCTCATTATATATTGCTTTTAATGCGCTCGACACACGAGTAGTGTGACGTTTGAAACAAGCCTAACACATCAGAAACGTGCTTTGTGAAACTGATACAATTTATCTATTTATTGTGATGCTACACGCGACAATTCGAAATTTCAATTGCAGCTGTCGCTAAAAGCATCCGCACAAGGCTACTGCAACTTATAATTGAAATAGATGTATACGATAGGTTATAAATAATAAGCACTACGTCTTTACATCATTGAAAGGAAGCATTTTATCTTCATCCGTTCCGTATTTTTTTCGCATTTCGGTCCTGTGGTCCGCTCCATCTGCTTCCGCATTTTAACCTAATTGTGACTTGTTTTACAATAACAAGTCCGCATTGACCTTTGACTTTTCCCAGTGCACGTTGTGTCTATTTTGAACTTTTCGCATGTTTTGAATAATGTCACTTTAGATTTCAATAGTTTCACAGTTATAGCAGTGTTTAAAGCAGTTTTGACAAGCTTTGATACAGTTCTGCGCACAGAATACTACAGATTAATTCTCGTAAGATCTGGTAGAGTTAACGTTGCACTGAACACAAATTTGCACCATTGACAACGGCGTTGTGCTAGACAGTAAACAAGGTCCGCGACAGTACACGTTTGCTACATGTACCTCCTTGCTTTTTTCTTCCATTGCATAAAGCTTGTTGGTGAGCCAAGCGATTGGCGATAACACGTTGGCGATAACATATTGGCTATCTCCTCGTCTTTCTTATTAAAATAAGGAGCTCTGACTCAACTGATTTCCTTCGTCTCGCAATATTTTCTTCGTAAACGCCTATACGAACGCCCGCTTCTGTTTTAATAGTTGTTGATGCTTTATTGATCTGATGCAATTTTTCGCTCTTTGCCTGAGTGTACTATTCTGCGGTGTGGCACCTTATACAGTAATAACAATGTATAATGAATACACAGTCTAAATAATATCGTCTATCGATGGGTACTTAATTGAACGCCGGTAACCATACTCGTCAATTTATATATCATATTATTGCGTAGAATCTCAAAGATTTTCTCAATATTCATGTCTGAAATGTTTATATATTTGAAAAACAACACTGTCTCGCTTCTTCGTACATACTGTACCCCTGTATAATGAGTATACCGCGAAAATAATATCAGCACTCAATTGAATGCCTAGAATCTCAAAGATTTTCGGCTCAATATTTACGTCCGAAATGTTTATACACTTGAGTCTTAAATCCACTGTCTAGGCGATCTAGCTCCTTCCTAGCTCTGTATAATGAATATACCGCCTAAATATTATCGATACTTATTAATTGAACGGCCGTAATGCATAAGATCAATTTATATATTGCGTAGATTTTCAAAGATTTACTCAATATTCACGTCTGAAATGTTTATACATCTGAAAACAACACTGTCACTCCTTCCTAGCATATCGCAATCTCGATGGCTCTGGGTACGAGATTGAGCATATCGTCACGCCATCGTGATCTACGGCTTGATAGCGCATGCGCATTTGCGCTACTAAAGAAAAATCGGGTGTTCCGGGGTAAAGATCCTTTACACAACATGAGAAGCGAATGTTCTAAAATTTACAAAGAATTACAATAACGAAAGCGATTGCTCGATTTTTTTGTGAACTTGGTAAAAGGATAACAGAATATGTAAATAGGTTAACTGAAATTGCCTAAATAACCTTCAAAGTACTGACTAAGCACAATGAATCACTACGAACATAAATCGTACACGCCCCCCGGAAAGTTTACTGTATGACTGAATGAATGACTGACTGTTTCGTTTGAATTTTCCCCACCATCACAATACTGTGAAGTTTCGAAGAAACTTCACACTAAAAATGGTTGTCCATTGTGCAAACCTTACTCTAAACCCTAAACTCTAAGCGAGCAAAGCTTAAGGTCCAGACACACCGGACGCGATTCAACAACGCGACCCAATTTTTCGATTTTCACTGACCGATAACTTTAATCCTAGTTTGAATTCTGCAAATATTTAGAAGCGCTATAACATTTTGAGTTATTTGGTCTACATTTCTTTCAAAATTTGCTTTCATTGGCTGTTTATTAATTTTCCAAAACTAAAAAATCGCGTCGCGTTGTCGAATCGTGTCCGGTGTGTCTGGACCTTTATTTAATGGGAAGCGCAAGCTTCAAGCTTAATAGTTGTACAGTATATTGCAGCTACTTGTGAATGAATTGTTCTCGTAAGGAAATATTTACCATGTTTTTAACAAATGGGTCCCATATATGATTTCTATAGTGATTGAATGGTGTTCCCATTAAGTTTTACTTGCTTAGAGTTTAAGGTTTAAAGTCTGCAAAGAACAACTTTTTGAATTTATAGCTGTACATACACAATAAATATATAGATTATGCATAATGAATAAGTAATGTATAAAGTTGTGATAGTAATGTATAAGTTTCGTACCCGATGCTTCAGCTCAGTCCACTGCATCGATGATTTCCAAATCATGATTTAAATAGTCTCTTTAATTAATTGCAATATTCAATTTACATCAAGGATGAGGAGTATGTCATGATGCCTAGAGGAAAACCAAAGAAAAAAGCTAAAGGTGAAGCTCTAGTCCTAGAATATATAAAGCAAGTTCGAATCTTTCAAAGTTGTTTATAATATAAGTGTGATATAACAGACAATTTGATTGACTAATGCGCATGCATTGTGATGCAATAATCAATAATGCACTGTGATCTGTGGCACTGCTTTCTCTTTCTCTGTTTTTTCCCCTCTTGACCACAGCTTTTTAGCCAAAAATATAAACAAAATTATAAAGCTTTTAAAATACAAAGTTTACCAGAAAGCAAGAAGGAATAGACCAAAAGAACAAAGCAATTTTCTATATAGTTATACTTATAAAATTAACCGGTTTGGCGTTCGTCGAATTTGGTGTTGTCTCGACAAGTTTTGGGTGAACGCGTACAAAATAGTCGAGAAAGAAAAAGATACAGCTGGAAGACGAAATGCATACAAAAACGGAACAAAAACTGAATATAAGTGATTTAGTAAGTACCTTCAATTTTTCTGATAATAACTGCTACATATATTTTCGGCGAAAGACAAAAAGACCAATAATTTCGAAAATTAAAACTGATTATAAACACGACAAAATCTACGATTGGCAAATCCAGCAGCCCAGATGCTGAAAAACTTCGGCAAATTAGTCTGTGTGTTACTGCTTTTTTATTTTCACTATTTAAAACAATTTTTCCGGCTTTATAGCATCAAAAATTTGTATATTGTTTTGGCAATTCCACTCCTTCGCTCGCTTAAAAGTTAAAAATTCAAGCAACAGTAAAAGCACGCGCGTGACGTCACTGAGTACATGTTAGGAGAATTTCAATGTCGATCATTTGAGTAAAATTGTTTACTATGTAATATATTATATTATATTATATTATATCATGTCATGTCATTGCATTGGGCATTAATATTTATCCTAATATCATATATATATCATTATGGCGTCATATTTCCGCCAAAATTAAAGATCGTATTTGCAACATTATAGTTCGTATTCGCAACATTATAGTTTGTATTCGCAACATTATAGTTCGTATTCGCAACATTATAGTTCGTATGCGCAACATTATAGCTCGTATTCCCAACATTATAGCTCGTATTCCCAACATTATAGTTCGTATTTGCAACATTATAGTTCGTATTTGCAACATTATAGTTCGTATTCGCAACATTATAGTTCGTATTCCCAACATTATAGTTCGTATTCCCAACATTATAGTTCGTATTCGTCACTCTCACGTGATATGCTCTCAACCAATAAAACACTAGAAAAATGCGACTTTGACTATTGATATATAATAATAGATATTATCTATAAAGATACTATCTATAAAGAAACCTTACATTAATATACCTCTAACACTCTTTTTTATTAATATAGTTGTGAAGAATAAATGTGGTTCTAACGAACCTAAAAAGAAAGATACAAAAAGAAAGCAGACGCAAGGTATACTAAACTAGGAGTAACCACCACAGGTTAAAAGTGTGACCAATGTAAATTGCGCAACACTCCATAACGATATAAATTCTCCTTTTCTTGATAATGTCAAAACACGTATAATAATACTTTTTACAATGCGTTGATAATTTGATATTAGGGGCCGACCACTGAACTTTTGAGGGGAGGGGGGAGGGAGGCTCGCACCTTCGGTGGTCGACTCAGTTGTCTCAGAATACTAGTTATGGCGTGATCGCTGCCCTATGACGTATACTTATCAGTTAAACCATGCATATAATATATGCTGGTATTATATGCTGGTAGCTGCAGTGATACAGACTTGTCGACTGGAACTTCTCCAGGTCACCATATATATGTCCCTTCCAATTACACATTCTTAAAAGTGGCCCTGACCCATATGTTATACCTCATAGCAATATGTATTATTAAAAGCAATGCATGAAGCTAGAAAACTCAGCGTTAATTATTATTCAAGAATCTACATGAGCTAATTAAAATGCTGCGAAAAACAGTGGGGGAAAAATCGTACATAGGGAAAAAAATCTTGCATATAACGATCTCAGAAAAACAATTCCTTGCCATCAGTAAATCACCCTCCCCCCCCCCACACCCTCCCTCAAAAGTTAAATGGTCGGCCCCTTAACATGAAATTGACAAGTAACACAAGGACACACAAGTAACAATACAATTCTATTATACAGGGTGTATAAAAAAAAACGCAACCTCGGAATTTCCTAAGAAATCACTTTGCAATTCTTAAGCATAAAATATTGTAGACCCCTGGGAATTGAAATCGAATTGCTAATAGATCATATTACTGTTGTTGTCATTAAATAAATGCACAAATTTTGCTTTATGCACTCGTGTCTGCACTAATATGTTGACAGTTGTGGTATTTTAAATTCCCAGGCACCTAAAATCTTTTGTCCTTAAAACAATGTCGATTTCTTGGGAAATTCCGAGGTTGCGGTTTTTTTATACACCCTGTATATGTTATATCAGCTTTATTTCGGTGCAAAAAATATCATTTTGAATATCAACAAGCTCAGACTAAAATAACAAATAACAACTAAAATCTAAATAGTGCAACTATACTCTATGACTATAACTCAGCAAACGGTTATAGACAACAAATAACTCAATGTACTTATTAATAAGTGCTAATCGAACTGCTAAACAAAATTTTTCAAAACCTAGACAACAATTTTCAGGAAATCACAATTTATTTTGGTTTATTCGAGGGTTTTTACTTTCTTGCACACGAAGTTAATACATAACTATCGAACTCCTATAGTACAAGTTTTCAAGACTACACTAGCTAGACAACAATACGTTTCGTGCACGAACAAATATATATATTTATATTGCAGATTTTTAAAATATAAAAAAAAACTATCAGGTATACCTGAAAGTTTAAAAGCCACTTTTTCCTCTTTAATTACAAAACTGAACAAAGAATGCAAAGAATGCACAAAACAGCACAATGAACACAAACTACGAAGGCAAATAATGTGGCACGCCATATATGGTCACGAGTTCCATATACGGATAAAATGAGCCCGCAAAGGGTGTTGAAAACACATTCCAGCGGAAAAAGGTGCTGAACACAATTTTTTGCTAAAGTTTCACAATTCAGCGAAAATCTCCCATATCTGAGATTAGGATGCTCCCAGCTCGCTCGCTGGTCACAAAAAGCCTTTGACCTTTGTTCCTCATAGATTTATTTTAACTGAATTAAACCACGATTTATTCACTGCAAAAATTGTTAAAACATCCAAACAATAAATAGACTTTCGTTCTTGTTCTATGATTTTATTTGCATTTATGCGCGGTCAGGGTTGGTGAATATATTATATGAATAGACGAACACCGACAACAATGTTAGGGCTCAATCTCCAAACAGTGTTTCTTGCGCACGGTAGCATACCTTTTAAGTTGAACATAAATCCCATTTCCTGACCATCTTATCGTTATCACACTCTGAATACAATTTGAAATATCTGCAAAGATCATTTAATTTGATTATATGAATGAGTGTATTAAGTACAGTAATCCCAACCATGTCCATAATTTCATGAATAAAAACAAATAACTTACACCGTATCTCCGTACGATGCTTCTTTCTTTTAGCTTTTAGGGAATTGACGTAATTTGAATTTTTTCTCTTTTTCCCCTTCAGTTACAGTTGACCACTCCAGTGGACGAAAAAAACAGGCATGCTGTTACTGTGGGGAGATGACTCCAAAGTTGCCACGCCACATGTCTCGCAAACATTCACAGAAAGCGGACGTCACAGCTGCGCTTAAATTTCCAGCTGGATCGGCCGAGAGAAAAAAGGCGTGGCATAAATTGAGATCAAGGGGGAATTATCACCATAATATGACCGTGATGGATGTTGGCGAAGGGAGTCTTGTTGTGGCAAGAAAACCAAACCAGTCCGGTCGTGCCATCGCTGCTGATGACTTCCTGCCATGCCGTTTTTGCCGTGGTTTTTACCGGCGAGAAGAACTCTGGAAACACACAGCTACCTGTACAGAGAACCCGCATGATAGCCAGTCCACGACAAAATCTGTCCAGAGGAACTCAAAGCTAATGCTCTTGGGTGCTTTGAAAAGCAGCAATACATCCACCATGCTGAATCATGTATTGGCGACGTTAAGGAATGATGCTATTGGAATTATAGCCAGAAACGACCACCTCATTCTGGGAGTCGGAAAGTTCCTCGTGGAAAAGCATGGCATCACGAATGCTAAGGATTCATCCCAGACCATGCGAGAACTATCACGCTTAGTTCTTCAATTGCGAAAGGAGAATCCTGATGCTGAGCTTTCTGACTTTATAACTCCAAAAAAGTTCGATACAGTTGTGGAAGCCGTGAAAGAGCTGTGTGCCTTTGAAACAAAAGAAGGACAACAAAGTGTAGGCACACCATCCCTGGCATTAAAGATTGGCTATGCGCTGAAAAAGTGTGTGGAAGTCGTTGTTGGAAAGGCAATAAGGGAAGAGAATGAGGTAAAAGAAAAGGCGGCCAATAAGTTCCATCAACTGTTACTGAATGAATGGGCGACACAAATCTCACATCATTCTATGAATACATTAAACAGAAGAAAATTCAATAAAGTCAATGTATTGCCTCTTGCCGAAGACCTGGCAAAACTAAGAGCGTACATTGACCTTAAACAGTCAGATTCCTTTCGATCGTTGGAGAAGTATGGGAGATTGGCAGACTGGAAGTTATTGGAACAGACGACATTAACGAGGATGTTTATTTTTAACAAGAGGAGAGGAGGGGAAGTATCGAGACTTCCCCTACAAGATTACCAAACCAGACCAATCTGGGATAGCGTGAATAGTGCGGAAATCGCCAAGTCGTTGGATAAGTTGAGCATGCACTTTCAAAGAAGTAAGTACCACATATACTATTGCCATACAGCATAGTAGTATTGCAAATGTTTCCCCAAACAGAATGTAATAACCAGTCATTTTCAGAACTTCCTGACAAGTTTTTTCCCCTTTTTTCCTGCTTCGTTTTCTACCTCGTAGTCTGATCATGCTTTTCAGAAACCTGTACTTTATGAACCTTATTTTAATGACTATATATAATACACATTGAGTACTGAGTTTGTTCTAGCGCAAGTACGCGACAACAACCATTGGCGTACCAGTCAGGTACGACTGAAAATTGTGAATTATCGCACCCTGCACTTCGTTTGATTTTCAGGTAAAACTATTCAAATAAATCTAATTATCAAACAAAACAATAGGTACTCCATAAAAACAAGAAAATAAGCGTGCAGTTTACCCGAAAGTTTATCGATTTTATAAGAGATATTTTGATATAATAGTGTTTTGTTTTATGGCTTTGTGAACTACAGTACGTATCGTGGAGGACTTAAAAGCGGCAATGTTGTAGGCCTACACTTAAAATTAGTTGCGCAATGTACAATCTATCGTGTTGCGTATCCTTGTATTCCAATATGTATTAATTTAATCCCGTATGTTTCTAGGCTTGATATGGTTGAAATTAGAGGGAAAAGGGGGAGGAAAGTGCCAATCCTCACCAAGGACATGACAGAAAGCCTCAATCTGTTGATCCGCACCAGGAATCGTGTTGGTGTAGCGCCAGACAACCGATACGTCTTCGCAAGACCAACGAAGCAGTCCCTAGGCCACATCAGGGCATGTGATTGTTTAAGAAAGTTTATCAAGGAGTGCCAGCCACCACTCTCCCAACCTGATAACATAACGGGCACTAAATTGAGAAAATACATTGCAACAATGTCTCAAGTGCTCGCACTCAATGAGACGGAAGTGGATTGGCTGGCACGACATCTCGGCCATGATGTGAGCATTCATCGGGAGTATTACCGCCTTCACAAATCCACGATCGAACTTGCTAAGGTTAGCAAACTCCTGATAGCAGTGGACTCTGGAGATACGATGAAATGGGTCGGGAAAAGTCTGTCGGAGATCATTTAGGTAAGTGGTAGCTCATGCATGTCTATATATCATTTTACACGTTTTATTGCAGTTTTAGCGGACACGCATCCCACTGACCTATAAAAAGATGAAGTAAAAAAATATAGGATATAAAAATTGCCAGGTCATCATCAGTCTTCTTCATGAAAATTACCGCATATTGATATTTTCCTAACGTTATTTGTGCTGCGAATTTGTATTTCTAAAATTTGACAAAATTTTTTTAAAAAGAAATTTTTTTTTCAAATCAGTGTTGTTTTTTCAGTAGACTTTTCTGTTTTTTGGTAAATATTTACTATCATCGAGTTGAGAACACCATTTTAAAGATAGGAATGTATTTACCCGCTGCAAGTTTCCTTAATTGTAAATAATGTTATGGTTTCTGTATGTTTATACGAGAGCTTACCAATGGCTTATCCAATAGGCCATACCACCAATACATATGTTCCTCGTGGCATTCTGTCAGCAGAGTATAAAAAGTCCTGCACTGTATAGCATTATGCATACTCATGGGTGAAAATTCGAACAGAATTACTTCAGAAATTCATATTTGGGTTAAGTTGGCTAACGAATACCGAATGCCCTCAGCTTAAATATTAAAGAAAAATATTCTTCCACTTTGCATGAACATTAATACCACTTCATTATGTATGGGTGATCGCTAGATAGTATACTTCAAAATAAGGTTTCCGTTTTTATAACGTAGAAAAAACTATCCTAACTCAAAACTAAACCCTAACCCTAATACTATCCCTCACCCTAACCTTAACCTATACTGTCAAATAATACACTATACAATTTTGTTATCGTACCTTTAGGTTGGGCATTGTTTTTCTCATTTCTGTTTCGCTTTTGTTGGTGCCCTTGAGAGAAAAAAAATGATGGAGGTGAAAAACTGTATCATGGACATGAATGGTTATCACAATTGAAGAAGAGATGAAATAGCCTGAAATTGTCAAATTGAAGGTGCGATCAATGTTAAACAACAGAAGTAAGTAATTCATAAGTTTTTTTATTCGGATATCTAGCCGGAGACACGAAGGGAAGGTGTATAATATTCTGCAATGTACCTGGCGATTCGCTGGTGTCGCTTTCACCGTCACTTTCTTCGTCACTTTCTTCGCTTTCCTCCTCGCTTTCTGGCTCTGAAATTTCTGTTGAAAAGCAGGAAAAGTAAAAATATTATAAATGCTAAATAAGTTTGCTTTATACAACAACAAACTAGGACCGCTTTCGTCCTGCAGTGTAATGCAAATTATATAAGAAATATGAGGCGAGATTTAACAATGCAATGTCTTTATTTTGAAATATAATTAGAATTCCTGGACCTTTATAGGCTCACTAATCTACATGCATGAGGTAACCCCTCGCACAAGTACTTTTCTCAGCAATGAAAATGGGATAGACTGTATACTAGAAATACATGCAACCGCTCGCCTATATTTTCCAAACATTGACTTACATGAAGTACTGTATTAGCAATTGGTCAACACTGAACGCAGGCTCGCGTTTACGTCAGTGTTGTTTATAATTTTTTTGAAAAACAAACGAAAAAAAGTTGAGATATTGTTGCTTTTAACTATATAACAATGAATTTCCGAATTATGTACTGTAGGTATGTTATTTTGCATTTCAGTTGAGCTTTGATTTAATGTAAAATTTAAACTGAATCGCATCGTAAAATGTTTTGAAATGTTCATTTTAATAACTAAACTGCTTTTGTCGTCCTCATCAATGAACCGTTTTTAATACTTAATAGTTAATAAGTTCAAATTGTGGAGTAATTTAACGGTTAGGTCTTCAAATTAATTTGCTTTCCTTTACATTTTACCTGTGCTTTACCACAGCTTGACTGCATGAGGTGACCCCTCGCACAAGTACTTTTCTCAGCAATGAGAATGGGTGGGATTCAGTGTATATTAAGGGTCGTGTCGACGCTGAGTAAACACAATCTCGTACCCAGTAAACAGCAACAGATAAATCTTGACATAAATACAGTACTACTAAGAATTTTAGTCATTGTAATTATAGTTGTGAAGGAAAACTGGATAAAATTTTGAGTTTAGTATTTAGAAGTTGAGGTTATAAAGCAATGAAGTATTTTTCGTTGTGGAAGCACCGTGGTTATGGCAACACTGACAGATTTAAATAAAAACATATTTTTATTTTTACAGGACATCATCAGCCTCGTACCCGGGCCTTTATTCCTTGGTTATGGTATGTTGTTATAACATGTTGTTATTCTGTTTTTTATTCCTATGTTTGTACAGTATGTTTTTAAAATAAATCAGATGGCTTTAAATGCTTCATAAGTATCATAACTGTTTATTTGATAAGCTCAACAAACTCTGTATATGAACAGAATTGAAGTAAATTTATTTAATTTGATTTTCGCACATTATGTCAGATGAGTTTGACGAAAATGGCCTGCAAATTTTGCTCAACAGTATGCGTTCTTTACCCCTATCGGAAAAAAATCCTGTCAGAAAGTACGTCAGGATTAGAGTAAATTTTCATATTGCAATTGTAATTGTAAAAGTTAAACACAGGGATCTTAGTCGTGAAGCGGCTCGGCTAATACTGTATTAGTTAAACGGGTCGACTGATATTTGTTGACAATTGTGATCGACTGTACGTCGTGTTTGCCCACGCTCTATACCTGCGCCCGCATGTGACTTTCTTATATTGAGGGAAGGACGGAAACAGACATGGAAAAAAGTGCATGGGTTCTCGGTATCCTGGATCCTAAGGCATATTTGCTCGAGGAACAAAACTAAGGAACATTGCGAATTTTCCACATTTTAAGTACTAGAAAAAACATGAGCAGCCGATCTGTATCTGATAGTTTGTATATCAGATACAGATCGGATGCGAATGTTTTATCGTACTTAAAAATGACCCATCTTATGAGTTCATTGGCGAAGTTGATTAAACATTCATTTCTTTTGTATTTTCCTCGTGAATTATTAATGAATTTTTTAAAGGATCTAATTGGGCGCTTTCAGATCATAATGTGAAACAAAACTCCCTTTAAGAGAATGAACAGTACGGTAATCCTTCCTCGCCAATTTTCCATCAAATAATGACAATATTATTGAGTTTGAACAGTTTTACATTCAGAGGATTCTATTACAAAATACTACAGTAGTATACAGTGTTAAACCATACATAATGGCAATTGCTAGATAGTATACTTCAAAATAAGGTTTCCGTTTTTGTATCAATTTTTAAAATAAGTTAGGGTTAGGTTAGGGTTTAGGTTAGGGTCAGTAAGTATATTTAACAATTATAACTAGGGCTTGACTTTTATAGAGATCGAGATATAATTTTTCAGCGTTTATCCAAAGCGCGTGATATTCAATCCCAATTGACCATTTGCGTGATAGACTAAATTTTAATCTAAACAAATCTACCCAAAAATTTCATCACAGCTTAAAAGAGCATCACAAAATTAGTAATATTCCAAAGTTTTGTTGCAAAATGTTGTAAAATGCGGATAATAAAGCCTTGCAAAGTTTGCCAATTTTCAGTCATTTTAGATTACGAACGGGAAATAGACAAGCCTCAAAGGGTATAGGGCTGTCAATTTCCATTTGTAATCTAAAATGACTGAAAATTACAAACTTCGCAAAGCTATATTATCCGCATTTTGCAACATTTCGCAACGAAACTTTGGAATATTACTAATTTTGTGATGCTCTTTTAGGCCGTGATGAAATTTTTGTCTAGATCAAAATTTAGGCTATTACGCAAATGGTCAATTCACGACATTACATACCATCCACTGATCGCCAGTCATCTCGCGCGTTGTGTTGTTTTTTCCGTAGACTTTTCTGGGTTTTTTGGTAAACATTTACTATCATCGAGTTGAGAACAACCTTTTTAAAGATGGGAATGTATTTACCTGCTGCAAGTTCCCTTAATTGTACAATATTATGGTTTCTGACTCTCTGTTTGTTTATACGGGGGCTTTGGGGCCAATCCATGATTGCTGGTATTTATGCAGGCCAGATATTTTTCATAAATATATTGTGTTATGTAAGTAGTCACCTTCTGTTGACATTTCTGTTGAGTTTTCTATGGCTATTTGAGAATTTTTCTACGGTTTTGATAATTGACAGTTGAACATACACTGTACTGTACTTGAAAGACCGCCAATTTCACAAAAAAAGTTAAATAACATTAAGTACACTGACTCATTTTCTACAATGAATTATTACGAATTTCTCGTAGTCTGATACAAACCCAAGCCTTTTCTCAATGTATTTGCTTGTCAGTGAATTTAGGCACAAGAGCAAAGCCTATAACGACGTGATCACTGGAGGGGACAACGAACCAATGAACCCAATTTTATTTTATTTTACCTGGAACGATAACACTAATTTTTAAAGTCTTTGTTAAAAAATATCATTTGGTGTAGTTAAATAATGAAACCTCATGTGGGCAGTAGCGTCAGCCCTCCACGCTATTTCCACGCCATATAGTACGTCAGTTTCAGTCCCCTTATATGCCAATTTAGATTTCGAAAATTTCACTCAACAGCTAGTGCATTACTAGACTGTACTAATGATTAGTATGTAAAATTACTGGACTGTACTAATGATTGGTATGTAAATCTAGACAAAAAATGTTTAACCTAGTATTTCTGAACGATTTGAAGAAAGCCTTTTATACTGTTGATCATCAAATTCTGTTGAACAAATTAGAGCTCTATGGAATAAAATGACAAGCACTAACTTTGCTCAAATCCTATCTCACAAATCGAAACCAACCAAAAGTGCCAAATAAATAACTCATTTTCATCTAAGCGCTTGATAAAATGTGGTGTACCACAAGGCACTATATTAGGGCCATTATTCTTTTTGTTGTACATCAATGATTTGCCACATTGTCTAAACAAAACAAAACTGTGGTTGTTTGCTGATGACACAAATTTGATTGCTTCAGCAAATTCTATGACTGACCTAGAGACTGCAGTAAATTCCGATTTAGAGAACCTT